CTGCAGTTAGCAGGAACCACTAGGAACATTCTGACCTGTTCTCTAGGCAACCAGAGGCCTGCTGATGTGTTTTCAAACTCATACCTTGGTGCAGTTGAGCTGCACCTACTTGTTCCCATACCTGGTCCAACTGCCTTTTAGTTTTCAGAGGCTAGATTCAGTCTGGACCAACATGGTGTAGCTATCTGTGGTCAAGAAGGTGTCTTATCACACTACCTGCTATTAAGGAAGCTAGTAGGGAGGGGGTGAAAAGGTGCCTCCGAAGTTCAGGGCACTGGCTTCTCTTACAGAGGACTCAGGTTCAGTTCCCAGCACTCACATGGTGACTCACAACAATCTGTAGCTCCAGTTCCAGGGGATCCAATGCCTTCTTCTGACCTCCAAAGGCATTGCATGCACATGGTGAACTTACATGCAGGCAAAACACTCATATACATAAAATAAAAATAAAATTTTAAGAAGCTAGTAGGAGGGCTGGAGAGATGGCTCAGTGGTTACGAGCACTGGCTGTTCTTGCAGAAGATCTGGGTTTGAATCCCGGCACCCACATGGCAGCTAACAACTATCTGTAACTCCAGTTCCAGGGGATCCAATGCCCTCTCCAAACTCTATGGTATTGCATGACATGGGTGCATTTACATACATGCAGGCATAGCACTCATACACATAAAATAAAAAATAAATCAAAAATAAATTAATTTTAAAAAGGAACTAAGCCTGGCATGGTGGCACACGCCTTTAATCCCAGCACTCAGGAGCCAGAGGCCGGTGGATCTCTGTGAGTTCAAGGCCAGCCTGGTCTACATAGTGAGTTCCAGGACAGCTGGGGCTACAGGGAGACCCTGTCTCAAAAAGACCGAAAAAAAAAAAAGAACTAGTAGGATTAGTGACCACTGTGGAGGGCTCCAAATGGCCTGGGAGAAACATTTAAAGGAAAAAAAAATCTTTTATTCTCTAAGATCTAGCTTGTTGGAGGTATAAATTCAGGTTATTTTAAAATCTCTTTTAATTTTAAAAGGTGACATGTCCTAAAAAGAACAGAAGCCCAAGGATCCTTCATTCCTTCCTACCTGACTCACATCACCCTTTGACAATAGAACTTTCTGGGCTCAATCCATTGTGAAAGGTTTTGAGGATGAAATTCTTTTTTTTTTTTTTTTGCACTGAGTAGAAACTGAGTCAAGAAAACAAGTTAGGCATGGTGGCTCACATCTGTAATCTGAGTGTTTGGGAGGCAGAGTCAGGGGGATTGATTCCACTTTGAGGCCAGCCTGGGCTACCTAGAGAGTACCAAGTCAACCTGGGCTATATATATAGAGAGAGACCCTGTCTCGAAAAAAAGAATCAAAAGCAAGAAACATTTGGACTGCAGGTGTAGCTCAGCAATAAAGTGTTTGCCCAACATGTATGAGGATCTGAATTCGATCTCCAGGACTACAAAAAACAAACAAGAAATAAAGAAAAATACTGTATTGGGAGTAGTTCTGCAAGTTGGCAATTCTAGCACTCCGGAGGTAGAGGCAGGATTGCAGCATGTTTGAGGCCAGCCTGATTTGTAGAAGGAATTTGTCCTAGTTTGAATACTCTGGCCATACCAAAAGGGTTTATTCAGTGTACATCTCCTGGGTCACAGTTCATCAGGGAGCCCAAGGTGGGAACTCAGGGCAGGAACCTGGAGGCAGGAGCTAAAGCACAGGCCATGGAGGAACACTGCTGACTGACTTGCTCCCCTGGCCCCTGCTCAGGCTGCTTTCTTATACAACACAGGCCCACCTGCCCAGGGGTGGCACAACCCACAGTGGGCTGGGCCCTCCCACATCACCCATCAAGAAGATGCCCCTCAGACATGGCCATAGGCCAGTCCCACAGAGGCAATTCCCCAGTTGAGGCTCCCTCAACCCAGGTGTGTCAAGTTGACACTAAAGCTATCCACAGAATTCCAGGCCAACCAGGGATAAAGAGGAAGACACTACTCCCACCCACAGACAAAGCATTATAAATTCTGGCAGTTATGCAATTCAAGGGAAATGCCATTCCTAGCAGGTTTATGCATGTGAGTCTTCACCCAGGCCCCCAGGGCTTATAAGTGCTGGGTCAGACTAATTAGGAGGGCTAAGGAAAGTTTCCTGGGGGAGGCAGAAACTCATCTAAGCCCTGATCCTAAACCAGACCTTTCCCTTCCCCTGAGGATCCCTGGCAGTGCACATGACACCCATTTTACAGAGCAGAATGCTGAGACCCAGAACATCAGGCTCCCCTGTCTCTCTGGCTCCTTCCCCATCAACCATGCATTCATTACAGTTCACCAAGAGGTCACTGAGTGTTCCCAGTTGCAAACCAAGGTATGGTGAGGCTGTGGCCTCTGCCAGCTCCCAGCATCTGTGCCAAACTGCTTCCTTCTTCCTTCCTCAAATGCCAGAAGTCTCAATCTTTCTCCCAGCCTCCTCTACTTCCAGTAGGGCAGATAAGACACAGGCTGAGCAGGCCTGGAGGACAGGGAGCTTGGGATGGCTCTACCAGGGTTCAGCATCAAAGAGGACTCCCAGGAGGTGAAGGCTGAGGCATGAAGGGTGAGGAGACACCTAGCTAGGTGTAGATCAAACGCTGATCCCAAGCTGCACCTAAGGTGGAGAATCTGGGGACTCCAGCAGCTGGGAGTCTACTGGGGGCCTACCTGATCCTGCATGGAGGTCACTGTTCCAAACTAGGAGAGTGGCAATGCCATCTCTACCGCTTGTATAAGAACTTAAAGGCTTGGTGTAAGGATGTCCAGCTCTGCTCAGTGGACTGGGCGGCTACTAGAGAGCCAAGGTCCCCCTATGGAAGTGGGCAGCCCAGGTAGACTGCTGTCAGTGGGCTGGCACCTTCTCCTGCATGGTGCTTGGTTTCTCTCCCTGAATGTGGCTAGTATTCAGTGGCTTTCTGCTATAACAAGTGGCAAAGAGCCAGGACAGCTCCAGGTCTCAAATAGAACACAGAGATACCTCTAAGGCCTTCCTGCCGCTTCAGAAGGTGGCTTTGGTGGCAAGTGAGGTTCTGACTTGCCACTTTCCTAGATGTGATAGAGGTTCTCAGGGTACCCTGTGACCCTCCTAACATGGCACATGGACATATTATATGCCTGAATACTTAGAACACAGAAACCAGGCCACAGATGCTCAGATAAATATGCTGACCTCCTGTCAGAAACTGAACCATGCCTCTCTCAGACACAAGTCCTTACTTTTAGGACCTGTGGATGTGACTTTGTTTAAGGCTAGGATATTTTATTTTTGTTTTACATGTATGAGTGTTTTGCCTGTGTGTATGCAAGTGCACCACGTGCATACAATGCCTAAGGAGGTCAGAAGAGAGCGTCACAATGTGGGTCCTGGGAACTGAACCCCGGTCCTCCTCTGCAAGAGCAGCAAATGCTTCTAACTGCTGAGCCATCTCTCTAGCCCCTAAGGCTAGGGCTTTACGGATGTGGTTGACAGGAGGACACAAGTGGGCCCTTATCCAACATCACCAGTGTTCCTATATGAGGATTCTTGGATGCGGAGTGACAGGGTTCAGAGAATGAAGACTCAGGAGATGATGCCAAGGCCAAAGGGCCTCCAGAAGCTGGAGAGGGCAAGGAAATATGCTCCCTGGAGACTCTAAGAGAATTTCAGCCCTGCCCAGATCCTAGTCTCAGGCATCCCACCTCCTGAATAGTGAGATACAATCCTGTTGTTCAGTGGCACAGTCTATCTGTGGCCCTTTGTTCTGCAGGCCTAGGAAACATTCCTGTCCTATATGGTCAGGTGGTCAGCTGGACACCCAGAGGCCTGAACCACATGCCGTGGTAGGTGACACTTTCACATCCTTTACAGCTCCATCCACAATTCAGGAGTGCTTCACACCTCTCTGAGCCCCATCCTCCATCCTACGGGCAGCTGCCCTCCATTGGTAGGTGGGGGGTGGGGGAGGATGGGAGGGTGGGGGGGTGGTCACACAGTTCAGTGGAACCTGGCCATTTGGCAGGGAATCTTGGTGTCCCAATGTGTGCTCTGGAGAAGGCTGGTGTCACAATGGGTGCTGCTGATGGTCCTGCCCTTACCAGCATGGCAAAATGAACACAAGCTTGATTTCCCAAGAAGGAAATTGAAAAAAGCTATCATGTGTGGCTCACAATTCCAGGTGGAAGGAGATAAGGGTGTGGAACAACCATAACCAAAGGGGAGAATGGGAAGGAGCACCTTACTTATTGCACCTCAGTCTCTGTGGGCTCAGAAAGCAGAGGCCAGAGAGCCTGCCTTGCTGGAATCCCGCTCCGGGATCTCCCAGGACATTCATTCTTCTTTGTCATCTGCGTGGTTCTGGGAGCCAGTGCTGCCAGTCAAGCCAGCATGAATTACATCAGAGGGAGAGGATAAGTGGACTGCCCCACACAGGGGCTGCTACAGGTGGAGCAGGAAAGGAGTGCACCAGCCAGGAGAGGGCAGATGCCTGAGTGTGGAGAGACCCAGGTTCGAATCCTCTCCTCTCTAGCCAGGGAGGCTACAATAAAAGGACAGCCTCCTCCGAGGACCTAAGAGAGTCAAGGGACAGGTGGGAGGATCCACATATGACACCATGGAGGGAGCAGGGAGGACAAAGAAAAAAGAGTTGTGCTCTCTCCACTTTGACATAGGTTTAATTGTACACCCTGAGAACTCAAAACCCTACTCCAAAATAAACATGGGCGAACGCACTAAGAACGAGGGCAAGCTGGATCGTCCAGTGGTGGGATGCGAGAAGAAAGGTGTAGGGTCAAAGGTCCAGAGGGACACTTGCCCAAGAAGTAGACTTCAGGGCCATCCTCCTGGAACTCCTCAAGGTCCGCCCGACCTCGGCCAGTCCCACCCCTAGGCGTAGGCGGGATCGGACTGGTGTTTAGCACCAGCGCCTAGGAGGGCGCGTGTCCGGGGCGGGGCTAGAGTCAACCACGCCCCTGATGGCACGCCCCTTCCACTAGGCCCCTCCCCCATCTCGCAGGCTCAGCGGAGCGCGCAGGATGAGCCGGGTGGCTGCGACCCTCCGCGGCTGGGCGAGGCCCCGGGGGAGGCCCCGGAACACCACGCCCGCTCCCGGGAACCAGACAGGTGAGAGGGGGTCGTGGGGCTCGTCGCCCTAGGGCCTACCCAGTTGGGGGCCGTTCACAAGCAAGGGGCGTGAGTCACACGCCCTAGGGCCTCCCCGAGGACGAACTTTCTAGACCTCCTGCAGGTGGGCAGGATGCCCCAACGGTGCCGAAACTCCGCGGTGGGCAGCAAGTGGCGCCTGCACCGGTTCCGCGATGGTCGCCCCGCCGCCGTCCCGGACGCCTGCGGAAGTTGGAACCGGCTTCACCTGGCGTTGCGCAGCCTGTGGGGTGGAAAGTGCCAGCTGGGGTGCTCTCGCCCGAGGGAGGTGTCATCTTTGGATTTCCTTGATGACTGCCCTAGCCTCACTTTACAAATGGAGAAATTGAGCCTGTAAGAGAGATGCTGAGGTCACCAGGCCGCGGGGCCTGGGGTGCGCTTAGGTTCTCAAAAGTTCAAACGTCTCCAGAAAGAGGGAAAGTGACTTTTAAGTGTGTCATTTCAAAATTGTGCTGAGGAGGTTTCACCTCGGGCTCTAGGGGAGGGCTAGCTTTTGCCCAAGAGCTCACTCCTGTGCAGCCAGGGTGGGGTAAGGTGGTGCCTAGCTTCTGAGGGGAGGGTTTAGTCCTTTGCACTGGAGGAAGCTAAGGTCTGGAGGTTACATTACGAAGTCTGAGGCTTGCTCCCACTCTGGTGGGTTCGGTTTGTTTGACACCACCCCACCGTTCCAGGTAGGGCCAATTTTGGCTTCCTAATTATTAGTCCTGGAGTCAGGAGTACCTGTGTTTGAGGAGGCCAGCTGAGCCTGGTACTGGATGGGGAGAGCTGCTCACTTGAGTCACTTCTGCCTATTAGCCTGGAGGAGTAGGTGTCCTGGGATGAGGGAGGTGGATGGCTTCACCCATGGTTAGTCAGGCCCCAGTTAGCATGCAAAAGGCTATTTGCATAGGAATCTGGGGCGGAGGGTGGGGTCAGGGTCTCAGAGTCCAGTGTCCTGACTGTCCCTTGCTACACCTGGCTTCAGACCTTTGACTACAGCTCACTGTCCTTTGGGCCTGGCTTCTGATCACAAGGCCCCTTGTTGCAGTTTAGGTTGCAATCCTCCCTCTGACATCCCCACACCTGTGCCTCACATCCTCTGTGTGTTACAAGGTGAGCAGATAAGACAGGTGGAGTCCAGAGAGAGTCTTTGTCCTTTGAATACTGGCATATGTGGGACTCCGTGGCTTATGACCTACCTGCTCTGTGAAATGGGCTGGGAAGGCAAGGGAAGGGACCTCGGGCTATTGGAGATGGTTTTGTGTTGTCTGAAAACAACTATTGAGATGTGTGGTTCCCACAGTCTATAGAATGGGCCCAGAGGCATTCTAAGTGTCTATAGTCTTCCTGTGGGTCTGGAGGTTGGCTCAGGGAAAGGACTTAGAATGTTGCCATCATCCCCACCCCCAGCCAGGGTCTCATATCTGGAAAGTTTACATGGAAGGTTCTGGCTCCGCTCCCAGGGCAGCAGCTCCTGAGCTCCCTAATCTGGGAGTTTGTCCAGGAACACAGGGTTCCAGTGATTGGAGGCCACCCCCTGTTACTCCCAGAAGGGAACTTGAAGGGTGTTGAAAGGGAGGTTCAATGGGCAGGTGGGCCCTTTCACTGTGCTCTTGGCTTCACCCCTGCAGCCTACCATGTCCATTTTACATAGAAGAAACTGAGGCCCAGTGGGAGCCAGTGTGAATCAACATGGGGCTTACCCCATGTGTGTACGTATGATAAATGCTCAGAAGTTTGAAAAGCCCTCCCAGAGGATTCCCAAATGGTATTTGAAGAGATGGTAACCCAGAGCAAAGTTACATAAGGACTCACTGGCATGAAGGACATGAGCCTGGCTAATAAGTCCTGGTAAGGCTGTGTCAAGTGGCCTGCCTCCCCTCTCCTTGTATTCTCACAGCCTCTGCTAGTATGAAAGGGAATTTATTTAAAAGGTCAGGGCGAGGGGCCCCAGGAAGGACAGAAGATGCTGGCCCTGGCCTGTGGTTCAAGGTTCCAGATAAAAGATTAAACAAGCAAGGCTCTTTCCCAGGCATTGGACTGGCAAAGGAAAAGGTAGGGGGATGGGGCCCTTCCAGAGCCAACCGTGTGTACCTCAGGGTGGAAGGACCCGGGAGCACAACTACTGCAAGTGGACCAGGTGGAGATGTCAGGTGGGGACACAGGCTAGGAAGGCCTCATGGTGTGCCCATTTGTCCTCTGTCCTGAACCAGGAGGACCAGGGTGGGACTTGTGTGGGTTTTTTGTTTTTGTTTTTTGTTTGTTTGTTTGCTTTTTTGTTTTTTGTTTTTTTGTTTTTTTGAGACAGGGTCTCCTTATAGCCCCAGCTGTCCTAGAACTCACTATGTAGACCAGGTTGGCCTCGAACTCCCAACTCCTCTTTAATTCCTCCCTTATGTTCTCCCAGCCCTTTTCCTTCCGAACTTCACGTGCTCTGGGTTTAAAGCCACTGACTCCACTTAGTCCTGCATGTATGTGTGTGGTGTAGGGCCATCTACTGAGCATGGGCCGCCTCTCAGGGACCACATCATGAAGAAAACTGACTCTCCCTCCCCCATCTGCCATCAGGTGCCAATAACCCCTCAGATAGGGGGCAGGACTTCATGAACCCATCCTCATCCACTAGCATTGAAATCTTAACATCCTGGAAGACAGGACCAGTTTTTCTAAAAGGATTTTGTTAGTAAATTGGCAGAGAATTTTTTTTTTTTTTTTTTTTTTTTTTTAATTAACCCCATTCACTTGTTTTTTTTCTGTTGCTTTTGCCTATCTTGAAGATTCCACACAGAACAAAAAAAGAGTTCTAAGGATGCCTGAGTGAAAACTGCCTTAGAGTTGAGTCCAGAGGGTAAAGGGTCAGAGGCACAGACACAGTGAAGGACTGGGGGACTTGCAGTGGCCAGTGTTGGGAGGCAGTACACAGAGGGCTAAAAGCTGCCTGCCCCCAGCTTGGCTGTGGGTTTCATGGAGCTGGGTACCTTCCCAGAAACATAAGGTAGAAAGAACCCCAGGTTCAGCTAGGAGGTGGAGTGTGCCTCCCAGGCTGGGCCTGGAGGGATATTTTCAGCAAGGGAGGGCAGATAGGACTTGACCCTTAGGCACTAAGCATGGGACAGCCTGTGGGGTGTCATTGAGGAGTGGCTGTGAGTATGCATGCTGATTTGGAGGGAAGTCTCTGAGTAGGTACTTGTGTGGTACTCTTGTGGCTAGGAACATAGTTATTGAACCTTGGTGATTTTTTCCTTTAAAGATTTTATTTTTACTTAGGTGTTTGTTTCATCTGCATGTATGTAAGTGCACCACATGCCTGCCTGGGCCGCAAAGACCAGAAGAATCCCCCCTAGCTAGAGTTATAGACAGTTCTTAGCCACCATGTGGGTGCTAGGAACTAAACCTAAGTCCTAGACAAGAGCAAGCAGTGCTCTTAGCCACTGAGCCATCTCTCCAGCCACCCCCAACTTGGTGATTTCTTGAAAATCCCTTGAAGAGATCTCACTATTTAGCTCAGACTGGCCTTGAGCCCTCTATCCTCCTGCCTTGGCCTCCTAAATGCTGGGATTATAAGTATGTGACACCATGCCCAGAGAGTTACAGGCTTCATGAAGTATAGACTCTGGTATCATATCTCTGCCTGCCCCATCCTTTCTATGTATTCATTCACTGGAGTTCTATGGAAAGGCAGCCTGGTGGTGAGTAGAAGTCCAGGCTGCTCTCCTGCTGTTTGCTTTGGACAGATCTGTCCGCCTCAACCTCCTCATTTAGTTGTGTTTTTAGCCCAGAGAAATAAAGACTGGCCTTATAGACCCAGGGATATGTAACAGAGATCCTAACAGGATCTGGGGATGGAGGCTCCTGGGTGCTGTGGACTGTGAAATATGGGGGCCTCAGGAGTTAAGATACCTGAGTATGGCCTGGGGTGCTTGGGACATGGCTTAAAGTCCTATTTAGGGAATCTGAGGATGTAGCTCAGTTGGTGGAATACTTGCCTAGCATTCATGAAGCTCTAGGTTCCATCCCAAGATGGTATAGACCAGTGTGATGGCATATTCCTATAATCCCCTCATTCAGGAGTTGAAAGCATGAGAATTAGGAGTTGAAGGTCATCCTTGGTTACATAATGAGTTCAAGACTAGCCTGGGCTATGCAAGATACTGTCTGGAAAAAATAATGTCATCTGGATGGTGACCCTGTGAGCTAGCTCCAGCCTCAGTGTCTTCTACCATGTAGTCCTACCCCTCCTGTGACTCTGGAAGGCAGGTCACCCATTCTGCAGATAGGGAAGCCTGAAACCAATGTGGAATGCTGGCTGGAGCATGCTGCAGGATCAGATCCAGGAGTCCGTGTTTACCTGCTTTGGTGTGAGAGGGTCTAGGGGCTTGAGTGGGGTATGCCCAGCTAGACTTAAAGGAAGTTGGGCCTCCTTGGCTGGTAGTCTCCCTGAACTACCAAGGAGGTAGGCAGGGCTAGCGGCCCTGACTGACAGCTCTTCCCTCACTGCCTACTTCTGTCCTTTCCCCAAACACTTCCATTTTGGTTTAAATGGAAAAAGGTTAGGAGACTGAGCTCTTCACCCTGTGAGTCCTCTAGACGGCTGGTTAGGAATGGCATGTTTGGGTCAGGACTGCACTTGAAGGCTCCCCTCCATCCTGAGTCTCCCCAAGACCACCACCAGGCTGCTTTCTGCACCCTGCGCTCCTGTGCACCTTCAGCTCTGGGCCTGCCGTCCCTCTTACTGGGCTGGAGCTGCAAGTGGCTTCATGATTTCATTTCATTCTTTAATTTGATGAACCCTCTCCTGGGCTTCCTATAGGCCAGTGTGGCAGTGCTGCCTGGTCCCTTTTCTTCAGTTGTGGGTGGTGACTTCACTCTTCATCCCCCACAGTTATAAGATTCAATGATAGGGCAGGAAATCTGTCCTTTAAGATGCGTGACTGTCTTGGTTGTGAGGTGTGCCAAGGCCTATAGTCGCTAGCTGAGGACAGTACTCCCACCCCTCAGAACCCTCCCCAGAGCACAGGATGTGGCTGTTGACAGACAAAATGAAGACATTGCGGTGCCCCACCCGCTCCACAGCTAAGACATGTTTAGGGGAAGTGGGCCGCGGTAGTTTTCTTGCTGTGCCACAGACATCTCATTCAGTCCTCCCTATCCTTTCTGGTGTCCCATTTAGAGGTGGGGACACAGGCCCAGGGCCAGATGCAACCAGAATCCCCCAGCTGATACATCCAACTGTCAGTCTAGGTCCCCTGGTTCCATAACTTGGGCTGGCTGCCTTGGGTGCACAGAAGGCTGCATTCTGTCACCACCGTCCTATGTGGTGGAGACTTCTGGTCCCAGCTACCCCTACCAGCCAGGGCCCTTTGCAGTGAAATTCTAACTGTAAAGGATGAATTCATGGCACCTGTTTTTCCTGTCATGCCAGGACAGGAGCAGACCTGGCCAGTCACTGTGCTGGTAGACAGCCATGAGCACTCCCCCTCCCCTGCCCCCCAACTGACCTCCCCTACGCCTGGCTGCTACCAAGCCTCTGGCTGGTGGCAGGTGGTGAGGGCAGTCCTCCACTCTGCCAGCCCAGCTGCAGAAGAATGCAGAAGTTGCAACTCTAAATTGAGGACCAGGAAGTATTGGCTGCCTGGTGTCCTGGGGAAGAGCCTTGTGGCTGGCCCATGTCTGCCCAGCAGTGTCTACCACAGCTTCAGGCTTTGCCTTTCAGAATCCTGGGATGTGGAAACACACTGTCTCTCCAGCTAGGGAAGTTGGTAAACCAGTGTCCCCTGCTGGAGATGTGGGGTGCTTTCCAGTTTCTCATTGTCCCACCTGGCTCTGACAGGAGCATCCTGCTACAGAATGGAGGCAGCCTTTGACTAAATTTTCATGGTGTTTACAACATAAGCTCTTAGGACACTCACTGGACTCCATTCAGGAAGGCTTGCCTGTCACTCCACCCTGGAGAGTCACTTCTCTGCCCTGAGTGTTACTGGTTTTCTTTCTTGTTCTTATGTGTGTTGACATGGGACCCAGAGCCATGGTACATGTTAAGCAAATGTGCTACCACTGAGTGATAACCCCAGCTCATTTTTTTCTTCTATTATTAGCCACCTTTGGGGTGGAGAGATGACTCAGTGGTTAAGAGTGCTCTCTGCCCTTGCAGAGTTCAGTTCCCAGTACTCACATTGGGCATCTCACAAGAGCCTATAACTCTGTTTCAAGAGATCTCACGCCCTCTTGCCTCCACAGGCGCGTGCACACACACACACAAACACACACACACACATAATTCAAGAATAAGAGCTGGAAGTGGTGATGCACGTCTTTAATCCCAGCACTCAGGCAGCAGAGACAGGCAAATCTCTGTGAGATTGAAGCCAGCCATGTCTACACACCAAGTTCCAGGCCAGCTGGGACTATAGGGAGACCCTGACACAAAAAATCAAAATAAATAAAGATAATAAATAAAAGTAAGATAAAATAATTTTAGCTACCTTGACGATGAGGTAAGATTAGCTATTATTTGAGTTAGCATTTCTTGGCTTGTTATGGTATGCTAACATGTTTTTGTGGCTGTTGGACATTCTTATCTCTCGTGAATTATTTGTCCACACATTAGTTCAATTTTATTTTTTCCAATATTTTTATTTTATGTGTATGAGTCTATTGCTTGCATTGAAAGTAGGTGCACCTGTGTCATGCAGTGCCTGTGGAGGTCAGAAGAGGGCATTGGATCCCCTGGAACTGGAATTATGGACGGTTGTTAGCCTCCATGTGGATGCTGGGAATTGAATCTGGGTCCTCTGCAAGAGCAGCCAGTGCTCTTAACCACTGAGCCATCTCTCCGGCCCCATATTCTGGTTTGATTTTTTTTTTTTCCCCTGAGACAGGGTCTCCCTGTAGCCCCAGCTGGCCTGGAACTTGCTATGTAGACCTAGCTGGCCTTGATCTTACAGGGATCTGCCTGCATCTGCCTCCTGAGTGCTGAGATTAAAGGCATGCACCACCACACCTGGCCTTAATTTAATTTTTTAAGGGTTTCTTTTATGTATCTGAGTGCTTTGTCTTTATACAAGTAAGTGCATTCATGTCATGCAATGCTTGTAAAGGCCAGAAGAGGGTGTCAGATTGCCTGGAACTGAAGTTTTGGACTGTCATTAGTAACCATGTGGGTGTCCTGGAAACTGAACCCATGTCCTCTGCAGTCAGTGCTCTTAACTGCTGAACAATCTCTCCAGCCCAACATTAGTTTAATTTAAAAAGAGAATTATACAAATAAATAAATAGTTTTAAAAAGTGCTGGAGAGATGGCTTAGTGGTTAGGAACACTGGTTGTTCTTGCAGAAGACCCTGGTTTGAATCCCACCACCCACATGGCAGCTAACAAGTGTCTGTAACTCCAGTTCCAGGGGATCCAACAGCCTCTTCTGTCCTCCGCGGGCATTGCATGACATGGGTGCACTTAACCTACATTCAGACAATACACACATACACATAAAATAAAAAAATGAAAAAATAAGTAAAATTTAAAAAGAATTGTGGGGCTGGAGAGATGGCTCAGCGGATAAGAGCACTGATTGCTCTTGCAGAAGACCTGGGTTCAAATCCCAGCATCCACATGGCGGCTAACAACCCGTCCTTAACTCCAGTTCCAGGGGATCTGACACCCTCTTCTGACTTCCGAGGGCACTGCACAACATGGGTACACTTACACACATTAGGCAATATACTCATACACATAAAATAAAAATAAAATATTTTTTAAAAAGAAATTTAAATGCTTAACTTTTATTGATGTATAAGATCTCTTTGCAAATTAAAGGTATTGGAGTTATGTTTTCTTTCCAAATATCTTTTCCTGATTTTGTTCATCTGGGTTGATATTTCTCTTTCAGTTATCATTGCTAACAAAACTTCACTTTGCTTGTAGATTTTACTTAATGTTAGTGGCTCTGGAGAGTCTTCCCCTGGAGGGCTATGGCAGCATCTCTCTCTGCCTCCTGCTGAGCACACCTCCTGCCTTACAGTCACCTCTTTCTCTAGGCATCTGTGCTCAGCTCCAGCCACCACCACAGGGCACCTTGCAAGTCCTCCGTGGAGATGGAACTTCCTTGGGGACTGTGCTCGTGTTCCACTGCCCTTCTGGCCACCAGATGGTGGGGTCTGGCCTCCTCACGTGTGCTTGGAAGGGGAGCATCGCTGACTGGTCTTCTGGGACCCCTGTGTGCAAATGTAAGGCTCCCTTCTCCTGAGCTGCCCTCAGCCCAGTGGCTGACGGGGTGGTGAAGTCAGGGACCCGAGTCCTGTCATACCAACAGTAGTGGGTGCCCAGTTGTAGGCTAAGCCACATTGAGGGTTCTCTTCCCACTGCTGGTAGCTTGTTGCCTGCCATGGCTGGCAGTCCCTCAGCACTACATCTGATGGTGGACACCAGTCCCAGCACTGGCTTCAGACACTGCTGCTGCCCTGACCCCTGACTAGTTACTAGTGCCATTTGAGCTGGTGCTCTGTCATCTGTGAAGTGGGGAAACTACCCTACCTACTTCCCTCTCCCCTTACATGCCATTCTTCCTTCCTTCCTGCATGTCTCAGGGCAAACCCTGAAGAACATTCCAGGTGCCAAGAATTCTAGGAATTGGGAGTAGAGAGGGTCAGGATTGTGCCCAGCCCTGTATGCTCTGTTGAGGGGAGGAGGAAACATTTTCTGGTTGTCTGGTTGAATGCATAGCACAGGATATTGGTCAGTGAGGTCAGTGAGGTGCAACCTATCTCATGTGTCCCCTGTGGCATTTTCCAAAATGAAGGTCAGTGTGTTATCATCCTGTGTTAGTGCTGGTGTATATGAGCCTTTATGCATCTCAGAGCCCTAAACATACTCCTGCTGGCTCAATCTTTGAGAACCAGGGTCTCTGTAAGGACTAGGGTCTAAGAGACAGAACCCAAAATGACAAGCTTATCCTGTCAACATCATGACCCAGGGCATTGCAGTTGCCTCAAGAAAGGGCTATGTGGGGTAAGGGGACTCCTGGGGGTAAAGGACAAACCCCATTGTCTCAGGGATAGTTGTTAGAAGTCGTCTATCTCATTGCCCTTGTCCACCTTTGGCCAGAACACAGTCCTGTCACTGCTGTAGTCTTGATTCTACATGGCCAGTGTCCAGTGGGCAGCAGGAGAATGCGACCAGAGACATAGGCTATGCCCACCATGGGCATATTTGTTCACATTATGACCCTGGAGTCTTTTTCTCCAAGAATATACATAAGAATCCAATGTAACTTGTTCTCAATACACAACTAAGGTCACATGGCTGACCCATGCAAATCCCTCTAACCCCAAGGGTGGCCACTTGCTTTGCTTTTGCTTCTTTCAGGAAGGTGGGCTGCAAAGGGCCCTGAAGAGTTTCCCTGCCTTGGGCCTTGTGAAAAACCAGATCCTGCCTCTGCCTATGTCATTCCACAGCCCACCTTTCTGTAGTCAGGGCTATGATGAATGGAAGCCTGGGGGGCGGGGGAGCACCGTACTGTACTCCTCATTAGAACTTCTCTAGTCTACTATATTCTGTGAACTCCTATGCATCTTGCCAAACCTGACTCAAATACCCCTTCTTGGGAACTTTGATAAACCCTCTTAAATATAGTTTTCCCAAACCTTTGCCTCAGCCACCAGAGCCCCCAAAATGGAGCTCACTGTGGGCTCCACCCTCCCCACCTGGGCATGGTTGGTAGGTCTGGTGAACTGTGCCAGGAGCTGTGGTTGTCTCCCTCTAGCTGTGCCGCCACATGAGACTTTCGGCTTCAAGGTGGCAGTGATTGCCTCCATCGTTAGCTGTGCCATCATCCTGCTCATGTCTATGGCCTTCCTCACCTGCTGCCTCCTCAAGTGTGTGAAGAAAAGCGAGCAGCGGCGTGCCAACAGGTACAGTGGCCTAGGGCCCTTCTTGGAAGTGGGCTTGCCTGTGGGGTGCTCACCAAAACTGCCAGATACCCAAGGGTAGTGTCTGAGGGTCCCACAGGCTCTGCCCAACTTCATGGGGCAGCCATGGTGTGCAGCTCCTTGGGGCTCTTGGGATTTCTGAGGCATGTATCCCAGTTAGGAAGACACAGAACATTATGTCTGTGTGCACACTTGTTAATGTGTATGGGTACATGTATGTAGCCGCCACAGGACAACCTCGGTTATCAAGTCAGGGACTCTTCTGTTTCTACCTCCCATTCTTTCTGTTGGGATTATAGACATATTATGCACCTAGCTTTTTATATGAGTTCTGGGGATTTGAACTCTGGTCTTCATGCTTGTGCAGCAAGTGCTTTTACCTACTGGGCCATTCTCTAGCTCCATACAGAAGACACCTTAGTATTCTGCACACATGTGACACTACTCTGTTAGTGGCATTTTGGGCTGCCACAGGCATCCTACATATCAGGTAGGCTGCACTGTCCTTATAAACTGCTGGTCTAGGATTAACAGGATGTGCCACCACACTTGGCAATAATTGACTATTTCCTTGTTCACATTTCATTGTGTGAAAACATACATCACATAAACTTACCCTGTTACTCACCATTAAGGGTGCTGTTTAAGGGCAGTGAGCTGGTTTGGTGGGTAAAGGTTCCTGCCACCAAGCCTGACAACCTGAATTTGATCCCCTGAATCCACATGGTGGAAGGAAAGAACTGACTCCCACAAGTTGCCTTCTGACCTTCACACGTACCCTGTGGCATGTGTGGCCCCCTCCCTATAAACAAATTAAAATGTAATTTAAAAACTTTAAACCCTGGGTGAGTCTCAGCAGTGCAAAAATAAATAACAAATTGAATAAATAACATTATTTTTAAAAAAGGATACCATTTTTTCTGTGGCACTAACAGCATGCAGTGTTGTGTAGTCAGCACTGCCTAGCGCTAGAACTTTCCACCTCCTGTTTTCAAGTTGTCTTCCATTGGAGCCCACCCACTGTTCCTGGCTGATGTGAGGGAGCGGCTGGGTCATAGCCGAGTTTGACACTCTCCCACCCAACACGTCTCCTGCCAGGCTTCTGCTTAGTTCACTGAACTGCTGTCACCTGGGGATGTGCGGGGGCAGAGGCGTTTCTGCGTGAGCACAGCTGTTGGAAGACAAGGCACTGGTCAGGATCGTTCATCCTGAGCTCTCTCCTCCAGGGCAGCACAGCTGTGGTACCAGCTGAGAGACGAGGACCTGGAGACGGTGCAGGCTGCCTACCTGAGCCTCAAGGGACACAACTACAATAACAGCAGCAGTGGCTGTGGTGATGGTGGTGGCAGCAAGTCGGGGATTCGATCCAGCCAGGCCCATGACAACCACGGCTTCACCACGTGGGTTATCCAGGTCACAGGCTTGGGGGCAGTGCTGGGGAAATGGGGCATCTGACTCCCACCTTCCAAATTGTAATCTGAAGCTGGGATTACGAGCATGCACCATTACACACAGCAAGAAGGTTTCACAAATACACAAAAGTAGAGAGAGTGGTGCCCTGGATCTCCTGTTCTACCTTCTGTCCTGATGGCTGCTTCCTGCCTCTCCCCTTCCCCTTGCTTTTTTCAGCTCTGGTGGTATGTCTGGCAGCAGGAGCCCTGCCTGGCTTCACCCAGGTCCTTCTGAAATATCCTGTTGTTCTTTGAACTGGGCAAGCTTTCCTAGGCCCATGTGCATTCTGAGCCAGCTTAGTGCTGTTCCTTGGCCCACCAGGTGCTCCTGAGGCAGCAAAGCCTCTGCTCTCAGTCTCACAGCCTCCCTCTGGGGTCATGGCTGCTCCATGCCTCAGCTTTCCTGTGGGGATCAAGTGGTTCCTGAATCCTTCAGGCCTTTGCCCCTGCCCTTTGCCCATTTGAAAGCTCAGTGCATACTGACCATCATCGTTACCACTACTCCTATCCTTATGCAGGGAAGGAAACTAAGGCATAGGAGTGATGACTTATATGGTCCTATGTCACGTGTGACGCACCAAGTCTGATGGAATCCATTTTCCTATATCTCTTGAGTACATTATGTAAGAAACTGACTCTACCTTCAAGCTTTCCATCTAAAGACATGATCCCGCCTACTATGGTAGTCTGAGAGCTGCTGAGTCTTATCCTTGATTGATCGATTGACTGACAGATTGGTTTGAAGTTTTACTGTTTCCCAGGCTGTCCTTAAAGTCCTGGGCTTAAGGGATCTTCCTGCCTCAGCCTCTTAAGTAGCTAGAACTATAGGGTATGTGCAGCTGTACTTGGCTGTTTTTCTTTCCTGAGGTGGTGTTTTGGAGCTAATCCTAGGAGTGAATTATTTATGTCAAGTAGTCTGAGCCTTTTGAGTCTTTCTTCCAGAGTTCTTCATAAGCTAGTTTAGCCACTTCTTTTTAGATTGACTTACTTCGTATGTCTTGCCTGCATGCATGTATGTAGACCATATGTATGCCTGTTGCCCACAGAGGCCAGAAGAGGGTTGTTAGCTGCCCTTTCAGTGCTGGGAACTGAACTTGGGTCCTCTGGAAAAGCAGTAAGTGCTTTCAACCCTGAGCCTCTAGTTAAGCCATTTCTTATGAAAACCACAGGTCTCAGAGAACTAATGATGTATTACAGCATGCAAACTCTGCAGGTCTAAGCTCCCCACCCACCCTGATTCCTTTGATTACCTATGAGAAGGGTATTTCCTCCAAATCTCCTTCCTCTGTGGCACTGCTATACTAGGCACCCTGTTTGCTCCCTGTAACATCTGCCTATGGTCTTCTCATGAGTGTTAGCGGCTCCATATCAAGGGAGAGAGGCTGGACCCCTGACCCTCCAGCTAGCAGCAGTCATTGTTATTGGGTACTTCTCCTTTTTATTCTAACTTGGTTGGGTCTGTTTGGTTAATGTATTTCATATAGTCAAGTTGCCTAGGGTGGTTTCCAGGCTTCTCTGCTGCCCCTATCTGTGACCCCTCTGTTACATAGCTATGACTAGATCCTCCTGTATATTGATTAGGAAAAGGGCCAGTGGAATGCAAGCTGGTATCCCGCACGAGGGCAGCTTTAGCTTCACTGGCTGAAGTAGGAGGCCCAGGACCTCCCAGAGGTACTGTCTGGGACCACGTCTGCTCTGTCCCTGCTTCATGAACACCAGCTGTTGTTACACCTTAGAGATTTGTGCCGTAGGTGACCAACATACAAGGTTGGCCACAGAGTTCTCCTCCTCCAGGAAGTGGAAGAGTCCTGAGTGATAGGAATGTTTTGAGGGGGCCCAGACAGGTTGGAGAAGGCTGGCCACTCTTGAGGATTAGTTGTAGATGGTGAGCTAAGGAGGCAGGAAGGAGGGAATAAAGCTGGGGTGTTGGGGGGCACTTGTGAAAGCTCTTAGCCCAGCTTCATGGGGGCTCAGAGAGAGCCCTCTGCCCTGGTCTGCCAGCATTGTGAAGGCTCAGAACCCTAAGCCTGTAAACCCCAGTCCATGGGTTCCCAGGCAGGGTACTATAGATCTGAGGCCATCTGCCCTTCAGGCAAATCCTGTGCAGCCTGGGTCTTTAGCCTGACTCTTGACCTTGCTGTTGGAGCATAAACTCTAATGAGCTTTGCAGGTGTGCCTCATGCTGTCCTAAACTCTTCCAGATACCTGCTGTGATCCTTAGGTATAGGTACTGAGTTTGCCCCCATGTTAAAGGTGGAGGGCCAGCAAGGTTAAGAAACTTGTGCTGAGGACTGGGGACAGATAATAGCTCACTCTGCCTAACACGCATGAAGCCCTGGTTCAATCCCCAACACTGGGGATTGGGGGCACATGCCTGTAATCTTAGCATCTGTTTACGTATTCATAGGACCATTAGATCATTTATTTAATTCCTGCTCCCTGGGATTTTCTTGATCACAAAATATGGGAGGGAAAGGTGATCCAGAAGGCTCTCAGGAGGTGATGCTGGAAGCGACTGCTCAAAAGAGTTACCTGGGGGATAGAAGGGGGGTAGCACCTTAGGCTGTGTGAGAAGGGGGGCAGTCAAGCAGCCTGAAGGAAGCAGAGGCCCCAAGGATAGAGACTAGAGGTGGGCAGAGCCAACAGGTAGGCAGGGCCAGACTAATCAGCCTGGAGAATGATTGGCTTGTGTTTGGGGGATGAGGGCACTGAAAAGAGATTGGGGGTATAGAAGGTGGGTGGTCCAGCTCCAGGCCACAGAAGAGGGGACAGACCAAGGAAAAGGAGGTGGCATGGCATCTCTTCTCTGCCTGGGATGTTCTCAGGTCTCAGCCAGGCAGCCAGAGTGGTCCTCTTACCTTGATGCTGTCGGGGAGCTGAGGGCAAGGAAAAGGTTGCTGCAGCATGCATGTGTGCATGTGTGTGGCTCCCAAGAGGAGATGGCCCCTTGGGGTAGCGGTCTGTTCTGAGTGATGGCCCTGGCTTAGGTCCTTGGGCAGATCCCGCTAAACTCCATCATACTCTTCCCCCAACATATGCCTCTTCTCCCCACAGAGACCTCAGCGACAGTATCAGACAGTTGGCTGATGTGACTCAAGGTGTGAACAAGGACCCTTGGACTTCTGGGATGGGAGCTCCAAGTCCTGGTGGCTCTTCCAGCTCCCCATACACCCGTGTGATGGTCCACACAGTGAACCCAATGGTACCAGGCCCTGAAATGCCCACTCGGCCTACCATGTACCTCCCAGGATGACCCCACCAGCAAGTGGCCTGCTACTGGACAGATGCCCAGCTGGAAATGGGCTGTGCAGTCACCTCCAGGTATGGGGAACCTTTGGTGGTCAAGCCAACACTAAAGGCTGGGGTCCCCACAGGGAATGGACTGGCCCAGAGGAGGCCACTGTGGCTGCCTTACATACCTGCTCACTGAATGACTACTGGGGCCAGGTCCCTCAGCAGCCACCCTCCAACCAGGGTTCTTTTAAAGAGACTGTGAAACCTTTTAAACAAACCTAGTTTTGCATAATAGAATATGAAAATGTTAATAAAGTACTTTTCAGCAATTGCTGGTGACTTACCTCAGATCTTCCTGAGCCAAGACATGCTTGCTGCTGGGAAACAGACCCCTCCCTCAGCCCCAGGGCTCTGCACCTAGGAAGTGCAGGTAAGGGGAATAAAGCTGCTTTTCCACTAAAAAACACAAAAGGAACTGGGGATATAGCTCAGTTGGTAGGCAACTTGTCTAACATGCAGAACAAGTCTTCAATCCTCACTACCACTTAAGCCGGGCAAGGTGGCCTGCACCTGTAATCCCAGCACTGGGGTAGGGTCGGTAGAAGAAGGATCTGAATTTCAAGGTCATCCTCAACTACATAATTAGTTCAAGGCCAGCCTGCACTACAGGAGACTCTGCCTAAACAAATTGAAGGTAGAAACTACTGTACAGTTGTCTATTCTGACAGAACTTCAAACCCAGTTGCCATAGTGCTGCTGATGTGGTCTCACATCTTGGAGCTCTAAGCTTGTGGGAGACACTACCGGGAGTCTCTCTGGAGGCTGGAATGAGCTGGTGGAGTCATATTGAAAGATGGTCACAGGTCTGGGGTTGCTGCTGGCAGTCAACGGGGACCTCATGGAATCTTGGTAGGAATTTTCTCCCTCACAGTTTCCTAGAAGCTGGTTTCCAAGTTGAGGCATAGTGTGAGCACCAGGTGGATTTCAGGTTTGAGTCTTAGAAGTCACTCTGTCACTTCTGCTATGTCCTATTCATTAGAAGGCCCCACAATTGGGGAGGGGAGTTGGACTTCACTACTGGAAGGAGGCGGATGAAAGAAATGGAAGACATGCTTCAAAACCATTGCTGGGTGTGGCAGCCATAGTTCAGGAGGCTGAGACAGAAGGATGACTTGAGTCTAGGAGTTAGAGAAAGACCCCATCTCAAACAGGAACCTCAAACAACCAAACTCATCTCAGGAGGCAGAGACAGGAGGATCATGGCACGTGAACTTTAAGCTATCTGCATAGCAAGACTGTCATATACATACACACACAGAGATTAGATAGATAGAAGATAGATAGATAGATAGATAGATAGATAGATAGATAGATAGAGATAGATAGATAGATAGATAGAT